TTGAAATTAAATTTAAAAAATGATGTTTTGACTTTGTGTCGGGAAAATAACTGTAAACGACTCACATTTTAGTATAGAATATCCTATCACGTAAAATCATGTATTTTGAACCACACTGAGCTGTGAGATTTGAACAGCAAGTGCTGGTGAAACCCATTAATAGAAAAATGTAAGTAAAAGTAAAAAGTAAATGAGTATAAGTAAAATATTTTTTGTTATGACAATCTGATAAAAATCAGCTTCGTATTAACACTACGCATGAGAATCTGACGGCCACAAAAAGCAGGTCACCTTCTCGTAACATTACAAACAGCTAATCATTGGCGAGCTTTCAAAATTTTTAAACCGATGCAGTTTTAAATTTTAATTGCCGAGAAACCAAGATAGTGTAGGTAATTTTCACGATTTCAAAAATAAACATAGAATTGTCCATAAAGCCGGCATTTTAATTGACAAAACAATCTTGCCCATCAAAACTTTAGTGTGTTATTTCCAGTGTTTCTGTTTCAAAATACTTTAAACAATGTTTTCTCTCTGAATAATCTGTATGCCTTTCTGTAAAGGATGGTTTCATTGCATGGCGAAAAATAGAATTTTTCGGGAATCCGAATCATAATGAAAGCGAGACAAATATGGTGCAATCAGTTCTACATGCAAGAAATAACTTAAGTAAAACATATTTTGTCGTATGATAACTTAAGTTTGATAATTGTTTATGTTTATTTAATCACATCAATCAAAAGCGTGGTGGTCAGTTACAAATAGCACCACCTTCTCTTCCATCCATGGTTCTTAACTTATAATAATAAATATTTGAATTCTAAATTGGGAAACACTATGAAACTAATATTTGTTGCTTAATGATTGTGATAAGAATTTCATTCTGTAACTAAGTACAACAGACTTATTGTTCAATTTTAAGGACCTTAGAAAGTTTGCGAAATGTATTTTGTCTTTTCATCCTAGAATAAGTCATGCAATCTGAGTCTGTTTTTTTTTAAGTACATGTAATTGTTTTCGATGATGAGGTCAGACAATAAAACCCAATACATATGGATATTTTTATTAATTGTCATACGTTTCTACTTATTGACACTAAAATTTGCTTTGGTTCTTTAAAATATATTACATTAAACTGAAACCCAAAGTAACAGATAAAAGATGAATACAAATTATAAAATGGGACCCTGAAAGACTTGTCCAGAACGGCAGAAGATGAAGTATCTATAAGATCGCGATCGGTGATCATGTTCATAGCCGGCCTTTTGTTTTTCCACGGACGGCGTGCCAAGTGCTTTTATTTACCCACAAAAGTTGTGCCACGTGCGTTTTTTTCCTACCCACTAAAGTCATGTCAAAATCGTTCTTTTCTGTCCATCGAAGACGTGATGAATGCGTTGTGTTTTTATCTATATACTCTTGCAACAAAATGGATGGTGTACCTAATGAAGTTCTATCCACGGACGCCTTAATCAGCAATATGCAATACATAGATATTGTTGCAGTTTATACTGATAATTCTAAATCATTTGCAGATATCAACTTTTGTCACCTTATGTGAAACAAATAAAATATTATTGCATGACGATGGGCTGAATATCAAAATTAAGACACATGTTTAACTATATTAATTATGTATTACCTTAATAACTCATGGGTTTTCAATAATAAAGACTGAAAAATGTAATAAAAGATCAAGTAGTGTCTGTTAATACAAATGTAACAATAGTTATAAGTGAAATATTAAAAACGTCAATAGTTCGATAAGGTTTTACCATATGACCGTAAACAAGAACATATCATCATTGTAAACTAAACAGTACAAAATACTTGAATTACAATACATTGAACTCCAATTAAAGGAACAACTTTTCACTATGATTCAGCTATAACAAGTATGAGAGAGTTTACATTTCAATACTACTGATACCACCTGAATTGACAAATATTATTACTTTGGTTATTCAAGTCAGTCCATGTCGTTGTAGATTTGTAATTTAAGGAAAGGGTTCCTGGTTAAACGCTTTTCTCAACAATTGAAATCATAACAGCTAATCGATTAAAAACCACTGGAAACTATTTATCTAGTCTTTCGTACTTAGTAAGAAATATTCCGACCGTCTAAATTTCATTTGACTGATGTTTAAATGAAGACGCATGCATTAATAGCAAAGAGTAGAGAAAACAGAATCCCTTAAGAAAGCTCAACACGGCAAACATGAAAATTTTGCAGGCTCGGCAAATCGCACTTTGCAACACCGCATTAATTTTAAAGTTTTAAGGTTATATATTTCAAGTAATTTGCAGCTTAAAATGTTTGCATTTTCATTTCAGATTTATAATGTTTAAAGATCGTCGACATTAAATACCCTAGCAGACATGGGAGATATTGCATTTCACTGACCTTTATCAAATATAGTATTGTGATATTCACATATTTTTGTCGATTTTATTGCGCTCTCGATAAACATCCTCTTTGAAATTTCATGGTTCTATTTGATCTCTTTTCTATTAAAGATTTTATTTGTCATATTTGTGATATTTGTAAGAGATATTACACTTTATTATGTTAGCATATTGTACATTTATTTAAGAAAAATGATTTTTATTGTATTCTCGTGTCTTAGTGCTTCATTCACAGTTTTGGTCAATAATGTATAAGCTGTAGCTTAGTTCAAATACTCAAATTTTGAGACATAAATTTTCAATTCTCTTCTTGAATATCTACTCAAATGTGATACAATTGGCATTAATTGGAAAAGACTTTACTTTCAATATAATTATTTTCTGTTTTTAACAGATACACGCACAAACTGAAACTACGTTCTACATCATGTTGTCTCTACAGCTATATTCTCACATAAATTTTTATAATAGGGTTTTCTTTAAAAAGATATTAAATAATTTTTACAAAGTTTGATCTTTCTAAAATTAATAAAATTATATATGGGATAAAAGTAAATCATATTTCAATATTTCATAGAAACCAATGTATTGTCTCGGTTCTGCATTACCTGTACCACCTTTTTTGGACAATAATCCAGTACTTTTACCAGTTCTAGCAATATTATGTGTGCGCTATTCAGTATCTGTACCAGTACTTGCAAAATGAGTACAGTACTAGTACTAACAAGGCATGTCTGTCTTGTACTGGTTAAATGATGTTTATTCATTAATTCAGCGGTAACTGACTCTTCTAAGCATTATTCTTAGTACATTGAATTACGAAAAGGTTATTAATTAGAATATTATCTTTGTTGTAAATATGTCATTAAGATAGCGACTGAGTTCATAATTATCATGTCTTCGTCAAAATGTTCAAAGTAACGTTTTTGCCATAAAACCACTGAAAATGCTAATCATTTCGTCTGCTTTTGGTAATCTAATGTTTTCAGTTTTTGAAAAAGATCATAATTTTATTACATTTCTGTAGGAAGGAAATATATCTATTGAAAGATTCCAGTTATCATACTTTTTAAAAAAAACCTAAATTTGTGAAATTATGCAAATACCAGTTTTGTTGTTTGTTTTTACTTAGGTTAAGATTCATGTTATTTTAGAAACCTCAGATTTATTGATTAAAGGGATACTATTATTACAGTTTTGTTTCTGATGTATAGAACTGAATACATTCCCTTGTTGCGTTGTTGATTGAACAATCCCAAAGCAACAATTTGTATTGTTTGATTTTATTAACCCGTCAATTACGTACTGATTACAGGGTCAATTCAATAATTAACAATCAACAATATATTAATCCTTTATAGATTTTCGGTAAGTCCTGCGAGATGTACGCTGTACGATGGAATTTAATTTAATTGGTATCTATGAACTAAGTGTACTGAGCGTTATAGCGCAATAGGATGAAACACAAGTTTATAATTTAAGTGTCATATGTGTTTTAAGTTGAAGACCAAGCTTTTTTCCTTATCAATATTTTCAACATTATCAAAGCTATGATTATTTGTTTCGTTGCTCCTTTTATTTTATCATGTATTAATTATGTGAAGACTATTCTCTCTTCTTTTAAAAAAAAAACAAAAACATGGTTTAAGAATTAATTTGTTTTTAAATTCATGCAGATTTAAATCAATAAATATCATTTAAATGACGTATTACACACCAGATATTGATTTCATGAAAATATACCGCATAAATAAAGAAAAAGAAAAAGTATACTAAAACAATGGGATAGAACCGAAGACCTCTTAATTAGATCGAGTATTGAAATGAGTGCTATAATGTATTCATAATTGCCAGGTCCATAAAATCAGCCTATAATAACGTGCAGAATCAGTGCAGCATGCCACGAGATTGGTGCCCCTTCTTATGGAATCTAAACGCGTGTATCACGTGTACAAAATTAAGGCATTTCTTAGTACCTACAAAACGTGCATTTTATTGTATTACGCAAAGTAAAAAAATAAATAAAATAAACCCCAACAAAACAACAACCCAGTATTTAACGTTGCATGAAAGAATCATAATTGTAATTGGGAGTTCCTTCCCTACATTTTTTTCACCAGCTGAATGTTAGTAAGATTATTTATGTTACTAATGGCATCCAAATTAAACAAGGATCTTAAAAATCACAAATGTATCAATTAAGTTATAACATTTATGAATTACATGGGTACTAGAAAAAGTATTAATCATTCAATTATTACAAATATGTCCTTAATAAAATGTAGATAACAAAAATTAATAACCAAGCCTTATAGCCATGAGTCATTATACAGTATGTGCCAAACATATGTGAAAGAACAGTTTGTACTTGATAACGATATCCATGCATTTTCATTATTCAACGACTACGTAAAGATTTAGTACCCTCAAAGTTGTGAAGGTATAATATTTTTGGCTTTGTTATGTAGGATAGATACAACAATATGTGCAAATATTGCTTCTTTGCACAGGTGTAAATACATTATTTAGATCTGCACAAACAGGTTTGTTTAACGTTTAATATCGATTATGTACCTGGGCAAAGTTACATTTTAACTTCCGCATTTCGGTCGCAAAACCTGATTTAACAGAGAACAAAATGGCGGCGAAGGTTAAACTTGCAGTGAAAAATGTTTAGATTTAAATTTTGGAAAAGAGACGTTATTTAAGGTTTGTTACTCACATTGTTAAATTCTTTCTTTCATCTATTAAAACAATGATAATTATCTTTATTTAAATGAGATTATATTGATAAAGTAGATCTAGAAGTTAAACATACACATTCAATCAACACATTAAAATACAACGATCTTCATAATTATTCGGTAATTAAACGTTGAGGAAAGTTCGAAGACTATCTATTATTTTCTTTAAATTCACTAGATAAAAACATAGCAATATATATGGTATATTTATTATTAGTAACATTATTTACAGTTTAATTTACATTTATATTGATTGAGAGAGAAGAGGGAAACTTGTTATAACCTGTTTGGTAATACAAGTTTGAAATTACTTTATGGTAGGTTAAATATCCACGTTTATCATTGTGTACAAATATATCAGATATTCATATCTTGGCATGATTTCAAAGCGCAGTGACATTTTATTGAGATAATTTATGGATAGTCTTACTTTAAGGTATGACTATCCTAATGCATTACCTCCGCGTTGAAGAGTACTCAAATATGCTAGAACTACTGTTAATTACATTGAAACTAAGAACCGTGGGTTCAAACCCCAGAAGGGTCAACTATTTTTTTCTTTCTTTTTTTCTCTTAACATTATTTATGTATCTCTCATAAGCCTTTTGGGAAGAAAAAAGTGTTTTATTTTAGAAATTTAATTAATATACTATTAGGTATTTATTAGCTAAATAATGCTAAATCTTATAACAAAATATGATACCTGATATTTTCAATATTTATAAAAAACTAAACGGTAAAAGTATTTAATATTTTACAGGATCAACCAATATAATTTTGGTACATTTATGAGATTCTTTAAATTAGGCTCTCTAAGTAGGAAAATGGTCATACACGTCTTAAAATGGGCGGGGTAGGGTAACATTTTTATACATATTTCATAAATTTTGAGTAGAAACAATCATTATGCATATATGGATAGTAAGCTGAATGGTACTATTTGTTTCTCACCAAAAAATAATTATTTTCCTAAGGATGATATTCTAGAATATTTAAAAGCTCCTTATTTCTGAAAAGGGCCATTATAACATCCCAGCTTCTGTTCAGAAATGTGGCCATAACTTGATTTCTGTATTCTAAGGTTTGTTTACATTTTGCATGCAGCTGTCCTTAAGGTATTATGTTGTCAATTTTCAAGTTCGTTAAAGCGGCATGCCTCTAGATTCATGGTTATTTTCATGAAAATTTGAAAAAAAAGTATTTAAAAGTAAGGTATAGGCAGGTGAGCATAGACAGTAATCTAAACAACACCTACAATTCATGTTAATAAGCAAAAATCTAGCACATCAAAATATGCAAATATAATTATAAATACTGCAAAAATCAATTGTTAATCGCATATGGCATGTACATTACTACGTGAATCTCGAACTGTTTAAATTTCCTAAAATGTTAGTACAGTTTTCTAAAGTTTGATTTTTCTTAAAATTCATTGACTCGTCTGGAATTATGCAGCTATAAAACAACATTATCTAAAACAAGCTCATTTTAATGTAATTGATCGAATTAAATATTAACATCGGAAAATGCTGTTTCCGTTTTTAATAATTATCTTGATTATGAAATTAATATACAGAGTAAATAAAATAGGTCTGCAGGTAACTTTGTAAGCTTCACTCTTTTGAATATTTGATTTGATGTAGTCAAATTATAATCACCAAAAATTTAAATGAAGTAATTAAAATTTTACATTCTAGAATTAATAATGGAAGTTTCTGGCAAGCGACAAAATAAATTGACACATTCGATATCACATGGGTCTGCTGAAGATTTTGTATTATTCTGTATCCCATGTGATAGAGATGGTGAACGGGTTCCAGCTAAGGGGTTTTGTACCACTTGCAATGAACATCTTTGTAAAACCTGTTACAAGCATCATAGGAAACCAGCACCTTTACGCAATCATGTTCTGCTTGATGAAAACTCCATGCCAACAACACCTACCGTTCCATTATCTCAAGACAACTTCGAAAGCTGTGATGATCATCAAGACGAAAAACAGAAATATTACTGTAGAGATCACGACACCGTAGTTTGCAGTGTTTGTGTAACGTTAGATCATAGGACCTGTAAGGTGGAATACATACCTAAACTTTCAAAGCATATTCTAGACAGTGAGGAACTCAATGAGTTAATGGCGGAAATGAAATCACTTGAGGAAGTTTGTGAATTAGGTATAAAGAGAGCAAAAGATGAGATAAAAGCCATTTCTGAAAATCATGATAAGATTATAAAGGCAATCCATCAATTCAGAAAGGAAATTAATACACGTCTGGACGATATGGAAAAGATTGTTGTCAAGGACGCGGAGAGAATCTCTAATAAAAAACAAATGATTTTGAAGAGTTTGTCAACAGATATAGAAGACATAAAAGACGAAACGGTAAAGAAACAAGTCTGCTTAGATAACCTGATACAAAAGAACTGTCTCGACAAACTGTATGTTGAAATGAAAGTAGCCAAGAAACGACTTTTAGAAATGAAGATGAAGGCAAAACAACATAGTCGAAAAAACAAAGATGAAACAGTAAGCTTTGTCAAACATCAGGCAATTATTGATGTGTTAGAAAAAAATAAGCAGTTAGGGGAAATTGTATCTGTTAAATCATCCGATCGTGAAAATGTTGCAATAATGAAAGCTACATCAATACCGCCAGATGATCAGACTCTAAATCTTGAAGTTGTCGAGGATATAAATATTAAATCAGCATCGGATAAAACTAATTGTGACATAACCGGGATAGAGGTTATTCAGCCGGATAAGATCGTGGTTTGTGATTATAAGAACAGGAAAGTAAAATATTATGATACAGAACAGAAGAAAACTGTTTCGGAGATGAAACTAAATAATTCACCGCATGATGTTGCAGCTATTACAGATGATAGATTTGTCGTGACTGTACCTGACGATAGAAGCGTCCATTTCATGTCACTAAAGAAACAACACATAGTTTCTGATCGTAAGGTGAATATCAATGAGGATTGTCGTGGTATTGCTTACAGCAATGATAAGCTTGTTGTGTCATGTATTTATCCAGGAAAAGTTTTAGTTCTTGACCTTCAAGGTAAAATATTGCAAAGTTTTAGTGGAGATAATAGTCTGGTCTACTGTCCTCTTTATGTCACCGTGAATACAGCTGGAACGTCTATATATGTTAGTGACAGTGGTCATTCTGTGAATGCTGTAAAACAACTAGACTGGCAGGGGAACGTTATAAATACCTATCAACCAGCAGAGGGAGGAGGAAATCGACGAGGTATCTGTGAATTAGATGATGGCACATTTCTTGTTTGTTTGAATCAAAATAGTGACGAAAATTTACGTAGAATATCAGACAGCTGTCAGTCGTGTAAAATAACGATAAATGAGAAGCTTGGTAGATGGTACCCGGAAGCTACTGCATACTGTGTGAACACTAGAAAACTTTATGTGTCTTATTCGGAAACAAATGAACTTCTCGCTTCATGTAGTTGTATAAAAGTATTTAAGTTGGAATGATGATACGTAAAAAAAGAAGAAATGATGTGATTAATTATCACAATTCAATTTAAAATGCACACAAAATTTTCAATGAAAACTAACATATGTGCTATCTGTATACAAAGAAAAGTCTATTCAGTGATGCACGTATTCGTTTGTATTGTATTAATTATTTTATCTTGAACCAATAATCATTCATATTTTTTATTATTCTTATTTTAGATTTTTATATTTGTTTATGTACCTTCATATTAATTTAGAATATCAATATCTGTTTCTCCCTGTAAAATAATAGTCCTCATATTTCCAGATTTAACTATTACTAGAAATGCAAGTAAATAAAAAAATTAAGCATGTTAATCAGTTCAAGTTTTAGTTAATTATCAGTCAGCAAAATTTTTGACTTTAGTCATATACAAGTGTATACAACTGATTGCAAATACAATCAAATACATGAACGTAAACACATATACAGATAATACAGCACTACATACAAAAAAACTATAAGATCAGACGGCAAGCATATGAATTTTCCGTTATATATACTAGTATAACATTAGAACACTATATTTGATTCATTATATAATGACTGCATTATTGTTTCTCATCAATCCGAGAAAATGTCGGAGGCAGACGATAATTTCAAATTGTTTTAATTGAACATTCTGTACAAGGGTCCGATTATCAACCCGGGAGGATATCTGGATTGACCACAGCTGAAAACAACGTTTTTGCTTTAGTGGTGTATTATGGAGTAAACCTCACTATGTGTGTTTATCACAGACTGCCGTTTTTCCGTGGTAAACATCCGCTTATATAACAATTTTGTTTGATACTGACTTAAGAAATAATATATCCCAAACAGTGATTTTATCGCTCAATAACATCACTGTTTGGAATTCGGATGCGGGGAATTATATCAGCATTATGTAGATTGAGAGTATCCTCACATCGATTAAATATAGAATGTGGCCGATGGAATAGAACTGTAAGAGAAAATAGACTTTGCATATCATGTAATAAATTAGAAGACGAATTTCATTCCTTTTTGAGTGTAACATGTATGACACAATTAGAGATAAATATATCAATAGATACTACATAGTTCGACCAAGCCTGTTTAAAACGATAGAATTGTTTTCATCAGAAAATGTAAAAGTAATAAGAAATTTATCTGTATATGTATATAAAGCATTTGAAATAAGAAGATGTAGATATAATATTTAGATAGTATAGTGTTACATTCTTTAATAATTTTATTGATTGCGCATGGTTGTACTGCGACATATACAAAGGAAATATATATATTCATATTTTCAATCCAACATGCTGATAGAAAGATAGCTAACAAGTATGTGTTAAATTTCATGAATAGTATAGCATTTATTTGTTGATTTTTATCATGGCTTTAATTAAATTTTTGGTTGCATATATGACCTCTAATGGCGTTTAAATATTTATCTTAAAAGTTAAATGAAAAATACGCAGCACTGCCATGTATTTGTAAATAGAAAATAGTAATAAGTAATAGTAATAATGTTTTGGATGTAAAATATCATGTGTGGTACACAAATGTATTTATTGTATGTAAATACGTACGTATGTACGCACGCGGCACGTGCGTACGTAAGTACGTACTGATATGTTAGAGAATAGTTTATACAAATAATACCAAAAATAAGAAGATGCAAAATAATGTTTCATACTTTATATTTTATATCAATCTTGATAAACATTTAAGATTCAATTATGAACAAAAACAAATATTTTAAAATAGTCACATTTTAAGAAAAAGTTTCAGACACATTCTTTTGTATTAGATATTTTGAAATGTAAGGGAAGTAATTACGAATCAAAAGCATTTAAATCTTGTAAGAGTAGTGTATCCTGTTTCCTGCATCTTACTATTTTCACATATATTTTTGTTTACTTTACTGTCAGATTTATTGTTGACTAATGCCAATATAAATATAAAAATGTATATAGAATCTACCAAAATATGACTATGAGCTATAATGGCTTTGTCAATTGTGTATTGTGAGATTTATGAAAGAATAAAGCTTCTTCTTCTTCTTCTTCTTCTTCTTCTATCAAGAGGGCGTAGCCGGAGTGATATAACGCTGCGCATCCGAACGACAAACAGTGATGTTATCAAGCGATACAATCACCGATTTGGATATATTATTTCGATTCTAACACGACATCAACAATTAAATGCTGCGGTACTTAATATTAGGTTTAATTGCACCTGGTTTGTTTCCGTACTGAATTTCAGCGCGTCTGATTTTTAGTGGTTACGTTACATATCTAAATATAGAACGTAAAAAGGTGACTTTATTGCATATTCAAACACGACCCGCATTCTTCACTATAGAATATATAAGAATCGAAAGTGTGTGCTATTATGCAATAGAGTCACAGTTGACGTTCTATATTTAGATATGTGACGTATTCATTATACATGTGACGTAAACACCAAAAGGATCCGACGGGCTTAAAATAAGTACGGAAACAAATCAGGCGCAATTTTTGCTTAATATCAGGTACGACAGCATTTATTTGTTGATTTTGTTGACACTGGCTGGTTCGACATCAGGGGATGTTTCTGCTAAAAAATGGCGAGACCGGTACGTTAGGCCGAGACAATTTTTTGCAGAAACATCCCGAGATGTCGCCCAGCAAGTGTGAATAATAATTTTGTTAATTGACCTTACTGATCGAATGCTTGTATCTTTCTAAGAAGGATAAAATATTTTGTTTTTAAAAGTGCATTTATTCTGTTAAATTTGTATCATGTAAGCCCGGTGTAATTGTCTCCCTTAGTCCTATTTTACATATTCATGAGTGTCCAGTAATGTATTACAGAATAATCTCCCTTCGTATTCAGCTTGATTATTTATTTATTTATTTATTTATTTTATTTTATTTTATTTTATTTTATTTTATTTTATTTTATTTTATTTTATTTTATTTTATTTTATTTTATTTTATTTTATTTTATTTTATTTTATTTTATTTTATTTTATTTTATTTTATTTATTTATTTATTTATTTATTTATTTTAATGTCAGAAAATATATTATTTTTTTTGGTAAAACAAAAAAAAAACTGAAAAAAAAACAACAACACACATTTTATTTATAAACCATTATCTTTCAGACACAAGTGAAAACATATATATTTAATATATACACAAATAATATCTGTAGTTCATATTGCACATTTTAACCCACATGAAAATGTAAAAACTGTCAAAACATTTTATAGTTACAGTCAATTAAATTTTTCGAACAAACACGCCTAAAATATCAACTAATTATTTCATAGTTTTACCAATGAATATACATTATGATAAAAACTTACAAAAAAGCAACTTACGTCCATAGCAACAGAACGAGAAGATGTTTATTGGCCAATGAGTAACATTTTGTTAACTATATAAGTACACAAAAAAAGTAGAAAGCTTTTGAGAAATAAAAGTAAGAGGATTTCTGAGGTATAAAGGGCCTTTTAATAACCAGTTGATTAGATAAGTTAAATATATCAAAGAATATTATACCTTATTTGCATACGCCCTTCTATATTTAATATGACGTCATCCGGTCCATAAACCGCATACAGACCGGGGGCGGTCCATAATTCTTATATGGACCGGATGACGTCATATTAAATGTAGAAGGGCGCATGCAAATGAGGTATGATATTTTATTTTGTTGTTAAATGAGTCTTTTTTACTAAATTTATTGTTTTGTTTGAAATAAATTTATGACATGTCGATCAAAAGTCATGATTTGTCTTTAAATTGATTATAAATTTTATTTAGTCTGAAAGTTCGAGGTTTTTTGCCTGTTTAATTTGATTAACAAAAATTGAATAACAAAGAAGAACATGATTTTTTTGCTGTATGGCTTGAAAATAATAATAAAAAATTCGACTAGGGTTTGAGATATTTCACACACTGAACAAATAACTTATTATTTGAAAGCAAATTATAGTAAAAATGACAGCAACAAAAGGGATGAAAAGAATTTAGATTCGGTATAATATAACAAATAAAACATGGCCTTTCGGGCAAAATGCAAGTTTACGGACTGGTTGGTCAGACCTCGGAAGGTATATGACCCTCAGCTGCGCTTCGGGCCATATACCTTCCTCAGTCTGACCAACCAGTCCGTAAACTTGCATATTGCCCTCAAGGCCATGTTTTATTTGTTAAATGTGAAAAATAGGACGATTTCATTCGACAAAATATACAAAATTGTAATTCCAACCACTACAGATATATAAAATTTGACCTTTTTTATAAATGCATATTATAAAAATATTTTCCAAAATAAAATTGAAACATTTCGCTGCGTCACCCTGTAATATAAAATTAGTTACAGATGTATTTTATTCAGATTGGCAAATCCCCAACACCCAATAGTCAAATGTTTTTTGTTATTTTTTCAACAAGACACCGGCAAGTGACAATTAACAGGCAAGATCGAGTTTCATTTTGGTGACGTATCACAATATGGGGTTTCACTTTGGTGGCGTGTGCAAATTATGATGATGCTGATTCCGAAGATCGCCGCCAGGTGGCACTCTGCAAGAAACATAAATTTTTAATAATGAGTGTCTTACATGATTAGAGTAAGCTATACCACGAAACTTTTCATTATGAAACATGGATTACCACACAAAGAAAATGAAGATAAAAATAAATTAAAATAAATAAAACCTCAACAAACAAATAATACATAATATACAAATAATACAAGGCGGAGTTTTAATGCTGCGTTCAATGATTATATCTACTTTGCGGTAATTTCATTGGTTTGTTTGATAAATTTAATTGGCTGACTTTAAATCATAAGTAAAACAATGATTGTCTTTACATTAGAATACACAACAGAATTCCTTTTCTAAAAATAGAACAATAAACAAAAACAACCATTTACCTGTCGAAAAGTCCAGAGTATCTAAGAGCGTGAGAATACCAAAAATCTTGCATGGAATTCTCGTGCAGCGCCATTCCACCAAGAAATGGCGGCATTACCGGCGGCGCGCACGTGGCATTCTGACGTAATCGTCTGTTCAAATCTGCCGCGACACTGTCATTTATCGGCATGTGATTGTAGTAACGTAAAGCAGCATTGCTTCCGGTCTTACGTAATTCCTTCCGCCATTTTGCTCTTCTGTTTTGGAACCACACCTTTAACAATATTGAAAGAGAAATGCATTCATAAAATATATTTTACTTTTCGGATCGGAATTGCGATAGGAGAGGTGAATCAATATCAATATCGGAACTATTACAGCTACTGATTCTTTGTTTCAGTTTAAACGTATTGCATTACGAATAAAGACGAGTTAGGTAAAATTATTCAAAGAATAGTTAAAAATTATTTTTATCATAATTACGTTACTTCAGTTTCAAAAGCTAAATTTCATAATTTCATATAAAAATATCACTAATGTTGTTTTTTTCTTTCTCTGTACTCTGGCTTCACAAATGTGTTACTGTATTTGCTGCATTTAGCTTAAGAATTCTTTATATTTTGTATTTAGCTTGTTAAGTACAATACTTCATTTATAAGGCCAAATTTTGTATATAAATATCAATATTGTTTTTACCTGTACCCTTAGCCTAAAAAATAGTGTACTGTTTTTAAGGTAAAATACTTTTTATTACCTTGTTTAGTATAATTTTTCATTTTTAAAGCTAAATTATCAAAGATGTAAATTTACCTGTACCCTGGCCTCACAAATAGTGTACTGTATTAAGAAAAAAAACTTTTTTTAAACATTATTAAGTACAATAACATATGTTTGCAGCTAAATTATAAAAAGATGTACTTTACCTGTACCCTGGCCTCACAAAGGTTAATTTTTGCTGCTAACTCCTCCCTCACAAATATGTCAGGATAATGTGTTCGTGCAAACAATTCTTCTAGTGCTGAAAGCTGGCATGGTGTAAATGACGTCCTCTGACGTCGCTGAAATAAACAGCATTATTTAAGTATTATTTTGGCTCTGTAAGCTTAAAAGAAAAGTAAATTTCCGTCAAAAATGCTATTTATTATACACTTATAAATGAAATATTGAGAAATATGATGAAATTAAATGCGTATTTTTGTTTTCCGTATTTTCACTATAAAACTTATTTTTCACTGCAGTGAAACATATTTTCCGTATTTTTACTAATCTCTTGCCGGACTTCTTTCTTCTAAATTAAGTCAATATTCAAAATTTAAGTACAAGTCTTTCAATTTGATGCATCAAAAACAGAGAAAAAATGTATATAATAAACAGAAAATTCAAGTTTTTTTTCTTGTGGAATGAAAATTATCATATTCCACTCATGAAATATTTATTTTCATACCACTCGATGAAAATAAATCCTGTATTTATAAAAATAAACTTGAATATCTTTTTAAACTAATTCAAGGAAATAATATTACAATGTAATAATGATAAAAAAGAGAAAGAAACAAACTCGTCATTGCAAAGGAATTCTTTTTTATTATTATTTTTTTTTTTTTTGCAGTATATCTTTAAAGTGATTTTCTTTCAAATTTATATATTTGCAGCTGTATGTTCTCCTTGTGAAACAAACTTACAACAAATTTTCTAGAATGTCAATACATGTAGTTGAACTTTTTAAAGGTTAGAGTGCATATTGGGTGTTCTTCGTAAATAAGCTAAAAAGGAGCGGAGCTGGCGAAGCGACTGTAGCTTTCTTATTTACGAAGAACATCCAATATGCACTTTAACCGGCTTAGTGCTCCGCCCACTTGCGTTTTATAATATAAAACGTCCAGTTTATATAAAATCTGTTCTATTAAGATTTGAAACCTGAAAATTTGAAAAATCCTCGTCGGTGATTGGCTTAAAAAAAAATGGCGAGTACTAAGTATTTTTACTATTATTTTTTTCTATGCTTTTGTCACGTGACCACAGAATTATTGTACTTGCAATTTCTGTATGTTACAAAATATTGTACCGATATTGTACCTATTATCTTCTTCTTAATAAAAATTATTGCAAAACTTAATTTATTATAAGACCAAGTTTAGCGAATTTGCAAAAATATTTTGTTGCAAAAACCAAAACATTAAATGGTTAATTCATTGAAAAATAAGTAATATGGTATCCAGCTATTGTGAATGTTACATATTCACTCTCGAGTGAAACTAGGAGCCTGAAAATACACAAAGTTTGTTACCAACGGTAGTATTAGGTTGCAAAAAAATACATTTGTAAATTGATAAATAAATAAATAAATAAATTAAATTTAATTAAATTGTTAATTAATTAATTAAAATGAATGAATAAATGAATGAATGAATAAATAAATGAATGAATGAATAATAAATGAATGAATAAATGAATGAATGAATGATTGATTGATTGATTGATTGATTGATTAAATGAATGAATGAATGAATGAATGAATGAATGAATGAATGAATGGATGCATGGATGGATGAATGGATGGATGGATAACATACTCATAACTATAAGAAGGAAACTAATTACTCTTAACGTTATGTTACATACACTTCAAGTATTTAGTAGACAACAATTTTTAGAAAAAAAAATCTTACGTATGAATTACAAAGCAAAAAAATT